TTCATCTATTATACTTACATCTTTGAATATGGTTTTTCTTTTATAATTTCTCATTATTTGATTGATACAATTTTAATAAATGAATGAATGAAAAATTTAATGTGAATAATTATATATTTTAACCGTTTTACCCATAACAGCGTTAGCCCAAGGTGACATATATTATAAATATCGTTATTGCGTGACTTCTAGTATAGCTACAAATGTCAGATAAAATTTTATTTTATAGCTAATACATTAAGAAACATGTGTGCCAAATTTTGAATCCTGAGGATATGAATATTTTACTAAAAGCAAAATATACTAGAGAATGATTTTTATATTTTTTGGGTAAAAAACAGTTTTTTGACAAAATATATAAAACCAGGTAAGTTTTTAAAAGATGAACATAGGTAACAAATTAGATATAAAAATACATCTTCACACCAAATTTAAAATCTTTGTGCTCAAGAGTTAAAAGGTTATTCTCGTTATCATTGTTACCCCGTCAATCGTTTTACCCCGGTCTCCTCTATTTTGGTTAACTATTAATAATATTGCAATCATTCATTCATATTTTTGGCGGGAATATATTGAGTGAATACTTTAACTATATTACCTTGGCTCAGATAACGCAAGTAATTTTTTTAAATTACAAATTTTGGTTAAGCTTTGATGGGAATGATATGAAAACGGGTAAATTCATTACCTATATTAAAGGGTATAGTATCATTCATAGAATCTCTAATTTTTCTAGATGTATAGATTCTCTCAATGGTGTAGCCAAGGGGAGAAGTCACCCACACACTAAAAACCGCAAAATATGAAAATCATACGTTAATATGGTTCAAAAATTACTATATATTCATACCTTAACAAATAATATTTTTAATCGAAATTTAGTTTAATATGATTTTGAACATTAAAATTTTATGTTGTGGAAGTGGATTATATTAATATAGAATATATGTCAATTATTCTAGGTGATAAAGATCGAATTAATATGCTAGGAAGTTTTTCAGCAATTTAAAAGGTTCTTCTAAACTATAACTCCATTTGATAATTTTCAATAGAATCCTACTTTAATTTTTTATTATATTAATTAATAAAAAATGAATTGTAATTATCTAATTATAATTAATCTATCAAAAATAAAGATATAATCTTTCTCGATAAAAATGGACATTTGCGTTGATCATTAATATTGATTGCCTTTATATTTATCCCAATAATAGAAAAAAACGAAGAAAGGCTTAATTATAGGCACTTTTAAAGAACCGGCTTCAAAAAGGTTTTCTGGATATTGTAAAATTGTTTCTTAAGTTTTAACTTAAAAATCAGCTTATCTTTCAATAATCAATATTTTTTCATTGATACATATATTCATCATATATCATTTATATAAAATATATTTGTAGTAGAATATAAAAATGTCGAAAAAATGATAAAGATTACATTCATGAGATCATTGCGATGATCAATTCATATTATCGATTTGGGTGAAGAGAACATAAAAGCCGCTCTATATGAAGGCAAATTGAATGCTATGGACTTATTTATGATTAATATTTTATAAATAAAACAAAAAAAAGAAATTTAAAAAAATCAAAATTCGTCTCTGCGACAATCACATAATCATATAACCTATTATCATCGTTATAATGAAAATCAGAACAAGTGAAATTTATTCTATAAACGCCATAAAAATTTTTCTCTCTTACCTTTTATGAAGAGGTTCCAGCAACGCGAATTGAATTTTTTTAGCTTCTTACTTTTTTGTTTTACCAGTAAAATACAAATCACAAACAGGTTTATAACAGTTATTCTACCATCTTTTGGAGCCCTTTTAATTATATATTTATCCATAGCATTACATTGGGGTATGATTATTACATTGATATTAATGTCATCATATTTGCCTAATTTTTCCTTTTTTTATTAACAAAATACAAATTAAACCTATCTATAATATTTATATTACCACTTTTAGAGGCTGGCTGACTTGCTTTTTATTTTTACTTCAATCACCAAATAAAGTATTTATCGAAAAAATTTTCCTGTTCAATTTTACAAATTTCTTATATAAATGATACATGAAGAATATAAGCTTATGAAGAAAAGCTATTCAATAATGAATGATAAGCTGTTTGAAAAATAACAATAATTGTTTTGAATATTACTAAATCAAATTATGCATTACCCAAAGTTTGATAATTTAAAGATGGTAATGTAATTTTTATAATTCTGTAAATTTTATCCCCCATAGCAATTGTCTTTATTCCGCACTATAGAAATTTTATTAGAATGGCAAAACTTTCCCGTTTAGATTTGTTGAGTAAATATCTAGACAAAATATTTATAATAATTAATAGTATATGAAGCTGTTTTCAATAAACATTTCTAAATACAAAAGTCCCGAGATTGTCAAAAACAATAATGGTAATTTCAAATTTGTGAATATATAAAAGACGATAATCGAATTAATATTCTAGGTTTAATTAAAAGGTGTTTTTAAAGTATAACACATTGTTTTCTTCATCAACTATAGTAACACTATTTAAGTTGTTAAATAATTATAATAAAATACCTATAATTAACGATCTCTTTGAAAAATAAAAAATGATAATTTATAGGAAAAATTATACGTTTTCTTTTAAATATCCGTTAAAAGTATTTTCAATAGTGTTTGTTGATTAGGGTAGAAAAATAATCAGTATTTAGACATAAATGATGTTCCATTTTGTAATACAGAATTTTATTGCAAACGTCCTATCATTTTGTATTGTATATTTAAGGAGTAAAACCAACCTTTATATTTTTCAAATATAAAAAGCAAATTTTAATAAAGTATAAAATATTATTTTATTATATGCCAATTAATAAAGTTTCTCATTAGTTTTACCATAATATAATCCTATCTTGAATTTTTACTTTACGAATTGAGATAAAAAAGAATTGTAATTATATAATTAGAATTCTCTATAAAATCACGATTACATGTAATTATTAATTAATAAATAATTTAAGAAATGGAATTTCATAATTATAAATTTTTGCATTACAATTAAAAATTATTTAAATTTTTTGAGTAATTATGCAGCCCATCCCTCTTATTGATAAATAATTTGAATTCAGTTTATAATTTTTTTTAATTATATCATTCAGTTTATTTTTTATAAAGTATAAATATCAATACAAACTCTTTCTTATGATTCAAGCTCCGAGCTATAGAGATATATTCATATGTTTTTTATTCGAGTGATTTATAAATTACATTACATAGATTTTAGATTGGGTAATGGCGATATGTCGGTTAATTCGGTTACCGGCTCTTGCCGGAGAACGTTAACATCAAAGTGTTTTAATTTATAGTCATTTTCTTTAATTTGAGCTGAGCCCAGTGTAAAATAAATATTTCCTAACATATCAAAGTATGTAATAGCAACTAACTATAAAAATAAAAAAAAATTAAGATAAATCTGCTAGAAATACTCTTATCACACTAAATTTAATGTGGTTAGTATTTTATACAATTACGTCCCGTTCTTTATTCTTGTAATAATTCTAAAATTTCTGTTGCAAAACGAATGTTCAAAGTATTTTTGAATCTTTACCTGCCCACCTCTTTAACGCTGCCTTTGAAATGCTTTCAATGGTAAGATAGGAAACTGACATTTAGGCTTAAGACTCGCAATGTTAATGAAATTATGCAGGAAAGGCTCTTATATACGTAAAAAATTGTAATGACAATGTTTTTAAGTATGATTTTTTTATGTATTTATTTAAATATTTGTTAGAATTATAATAATTTATAATCCGATAGTTCTGGGTTCGAATCCGGCAAGGATCATGTTTTTCCTAAAGCCAACTAGATGGTCTTTATTGGGGGGAAGATATATTGTAGATATTCAACCACATGATTCCGTTAATAAATTATAAAATTTTTTTATATTTTTATCCTTGTTTAGCAAGTTATATCATTACCCAATCATAAGGTTGGTTGTTTTTTAGTAGATGAAAGAGTTCTATCTCAAAAAATGAAAATAATTATAACATTCCATCTATATTTTTACGCTTATGATACATGTGCATGTTATTAGATTGAAATAAATATATTGAAACTTAATAACTTATAGACATATATTTTGCTCATATTAAATATTTAACTTTTGCAAATCTAAAGACTAAACAATAAGCTATAAGCCATTTAAATAATACTAAATTAACTCTTCTAACGACACTTTTAACCATAACGTGATCTTGTCCAAGAGATAGGTGTCGTATTGGGATATGGAATCATGTGGGATTCGGAATCCCAACGTGGGGATTCAAGATCTTGAATCCCCACGTTTTATTCAGGATCTTTTTTTTTAAATATTTTTTTTAAAAATATTTAATAAATATTCCGAATCCCCATGAAAAAAATAAAATAATTTAATTACTTTTTCTTCTCTTTTTTTGCGGCTGGCACCCTATAATTAAAAGGCCAAAATTAGGGATTTAAAAAGAAAATTAAAAAAAAGTAAATAGTATAAAATTAAGGCATATAATGAATGCAAAGGGATGAGGTTAAGACTTTTTTGTTTTAAAAAATATTAAAATAATTTATTTTTTTTGTATGTAAATTTATTTTATAAATTTATATTTTTTGCGGATTTTACAAAATTCTCAAAATTAATATAGTCAAACGGGCCCGACGGTCGATTAAAATAATATTATGTATCTTAAAATTTTGAAAACAAAAATTCAACTCCTTCTTCCACTTTTGAACAAAATCTCAAGCTTACATAATGTTATTTCGGCTAAAATCTAAATAGGGCCATTTTTAAAAATACTAGTCAAATTTGAGCATATTATTTTATAATAAAAAAACAGCTATAGAATCATGATTCCTTCCTTGATTTATAAAAAATTTACCATATTTTGTTTAAAACCTATAAAAAAATACGCATAAATTCAACGAGAAAATAACAATATTTTTCTAATATTTATTGATTATGGTAATAAATAAATTAAGTCACATTAACTCTTTTACATACGCTAAATAGAGCAAAGAATCGAAGAAATAGGTCAAAAATCCATATTTTATTTTTTTTTTCGGTTTGAAGGGTGGGTACAATTGCTGGTTTAGGAGCTAAAAGGCAAAGAGAAAAAAAAATTAATTTTAAATCTATGATAAACTATGTATATTTTTTTTAAATTATAGAATTTTTACCATATCCCAATGAATTGAAGCGAAAAAGGAATGGGAGATTATCTCGCTAAAACCAGTTTTCGGATTACTTCCTAATCTTTCCATGGGATCCTATAAAATTATATTTATTTAATGCACAAATTATATTATCAAACTATATTGAGAAGTCCACTCATAATAGAATTAGCTTCGACTGACACACGCCATGGACCGGAAAACCTTTCTGGTTAAAGTTTTAAGAAAATATTAAACATACAAAATAAGCTGATTATTTGTGATCTAGATCATTTATTATAAGAAAATTTTTTTTTAAGACACTCTAAAAGTGTATTATTGAACCTTGATAGTAGTAGTACGTCGCTTTATCAGACCCTCGAAAAATTATAGGGCCCACTAGAAATTCATAAAGAAGAACACCGAGCGAATACCAATCCACACCAAAATCTTTCATAATTAAAATTAAATTTTTTTGTAGGGAAGAGGATACATTTACCTAATAATTTTTATTTTAGCTAAACCCTAAAAATTATTTTAAAATAAATTTTTGGTACTAATTATTATAATCCTTAAAGTATAATTTGATATTTTTCTGTATTACGAAATAGGAAAATATAAAAAAGTAATCCAAAAGGCTTACCATAGTATTCACCATGCCAAATTTCGGGCGCCATATATGGGATTGTCCCACAGAATGTGTTCACTTTCTCTCCTTTCGCTAAACCCTCCTATTTAATTACCGTTAATATAAAATCATTATTAGCTCATCCTAGCTCAACGAAATTAGGTTTGAATATTCTTCTCCAATTTAAGTAATAATATGTTATATTTACACAAATCTTATAAGTTAATTTCAATAGATATACTAAATAATTAAATCTGTTGTGTTTATTTTATATCTAATTATATTTAGGTTTTTTAAAAATAATTTATAAACATTTTAAGTCAGTGTACCGATTTAGGCCACCTATAATGACGGCGGCTAGAAAGCGGCGCTCTCCTGGCCGCCGACAGTTTATTGGGTGCTTTTTTAAAAGATTTTTTTATACCATGCATGCTCCATAGTCGGCTAGTTTGGTATGGCCCTCACGGTCTATGAGTATATTTTCGGGTTTTAGATCACGATGAATGATCCCTTAAAAGATAGAAATATACAATTGTATTTGAAAAACTATACATTATATTTAATTAATTGTGCAAAGATATGATATTAGTGTTATTAAAGATACTTTAATGATATATAATATTTGTTAAAACCGTTGTCGTGTAGAAATTTTAAAGCAATTGCAATTTCTCCTCCGTAGAACATGGCATGGTCCTCCACCAGTCGTCCATATCTATTCAGAATACATCTAAGATTTCCACCAGATATGTAATCCATCAGCAATATATACCTTCGAAAAAAATTTAATATGAGATTTCAAACCGAGATTATCAAATCGCCCTATGTCACCATTTCAAGATATATAAAAAAAACGCTATTAGCATTAAAAGATAGCAGATAAAATTATCTCTTATATCATTGCAAGCATTTTAAAAGCGCTTTTTTAAAAAGCGACTATAGCGCGAGGCATAATCAATTGATATGTCGAATTCTTAATATTCAAATTTTATTATTTATCTTAACTATATATATTTTCTTACTGTTTCTCATTATAATCAATAATCATATAAAAGGAATAAAATACTTGTGGGGAGTTTGGTAAAAGGAATGAAGGCCAACCAGGAAAGGATGGTTCTTGACAGTCTCAAGAACATGTAATTCTGCTCGAATCCACTTTATAGAGGCCATATCCTAAAAGCAAATATTTGATTTACAATCCAAAAGAAAAAAAATCTATAGTGTATTCACATTTAATATTTGTTGCAAAAATAGATAAATAAATATGAACCTCAGTGCCATTTACATATCGTCTATTGACAAACTTCATAGCATAGTTTTGGGAGGTATTCTTACGCTTGACTTTGAATACCTTCCCATACGCGCCGCATCCTAAAACGCCATGGCATCTAAATTCCGACAATTGGTACTCAGGTTTTCTTAGAACTTTATAAATAAAAAAGTGCTCGTATATTAAATTACAAAACCTTGATGGTAAAATATTGGAGAAATAAAATGGTATATCAAACTTTTTTCCAATTCCCAAAATTCGAGGCCGCTAAATTCACTGCGCGGTTTATTGTTAATCGACCCTTTGGATATAGAATAAAAATGGAAATTTTTAATGCGGAAAATATAATAATGTTTATATATTATAAATGAAATATCGACCTTGATAAAATTCGCTATTAATTTGCAAAAAATCTAGTATAAAAAGGCAGGGGGAATACTGACAAATGATTCTACGAAATAAATTCTTTAACTTCAAAAGTACAAAAATTATTAGAACTATATATAGGAAATAATTATGAAAGTAAATTTTTTTTTTCATCCAGAAATTTTAATAGATTCTAAATGAAATATAAGACTTTGATAAAATTCCCAATGATAATCTACGAAATCTAAATCGTTTAAAAAAGGTATAGGAAGTTTAATACTTTTTTTAAACTTTCTGGTACAAAATTTATTCAAGCTACATATGATATATATTTTATGAAAGAATAGAAGAGATAAATATATTGTAATTGAATCAAATATTCTAGGAGATTACCTTTATCATTAGGAGTCCTGGATAAATTAACTTTGGACTCATTGGTATTTGCAAGTTCACTATATTTCGAATAATAATTAAAATAATTATCATTTTATAAAGCATTAAATATTTTATTCTAAATTCCAAATTAGCATTCTCTAAGCAGAATTGTTTTCATTTTTTATTTTTTCTCTCTTAATTTATCTTTCTTCCTCTTTTTAGCCCATCAAATTAAGATTAAATTGACATTATACCTCTAATAAATTATTTCTTATCCCATATGCGATTCGATTATTGATATTACTAATATACGAATATCCTATTTTTGAATATTCCAATCGAATACCAATAATAATAGAGATTGGATCGAATTATTAGTATATTACTAGAAATTATCCCTAAGTATTCAAAATATCCTTAATTTATAATACTTTTTCCATTATTTCAAAGTTCATTTTTACACTCATTGAAAAATATTTTAAATTATTTAATTTTCCAAAATTAAACGAATAAAATTATGGTTTTTATTATTCGTTCCCAACATATTTTATCGCTTTTTTTGGCACCATTAAAAACTATCCCAATGGTTAATATAACCCAAATTTACTTGGAAGCCAGAGGGCTATATCTTAGATTTTCACTACTTTCGCTATCCTTCCCAATATCCAAATTATCAATTGGAACCGTTTTCTTCTCCATTCTCCTCTTGTTGAATTTTTTTCTAAACCAATTCACTAATTTATTACCTTTTTTATCCTTTTTTTTAACTAATAAAATCAATCATGAACGTTTCTCTAATAATTATTTTACCCTCATGTTGAGCTCTTTCACATTCCTCATCTTCTACAATAGATTTTTTTACAAATTTGCTAAAGAACTTTTTTGTTTCCCCTTTTTTTTTGACTAATAAAATACATATTAAATATATCTATAATATTTATATTACCTTCTTCGTTTATATGGTCAACTTCCCCTTTATCTTTACTACAATTCCCAAATAAAGTTTTTAGTAAATTTTTCATTTTAACAAATAAATTTTTTAATAAATGCTTACGATGAAAAGATATCTGAAACGCAATATTGCTAAAAAAAATTGATTGTTGAGAAAAATCTTATGAACAAATCCAATACATAAACCAAAATTTGAAATTTGAACCAGCAACCAAGGAATCTGAGACAAATTTAGAAATTAAAGATGCCCATCTAATAATTTCCCGAATTCTTTCCAGAGTAGATTCTAATTGCGAACTTCATATTTTTTTAGTAACCTTTATACTTTATATCCAAATTTAGCACGAATGTTTATCGATAAATAATTCTAAAGCGAAGTAACATTACAGAAAAACTTCTGTGAAAATGATTTTCGTGAAACATTTATTTCCAAGACAATAATCGCTAAATTAATTTCCTCTAAATTTTAAATTCGATCCCTTGAAGCTAATATATTTTTTAGCCAAACATTTGTCACAAATCATTTAATGTTAACAAAATTAGCTTAAATGTGACCTTTATCTAATTTAATAAAAAAAAATAATTTAGCAATTTCTTATTGGGCTCTCATACATAGTTTATGAAAATAAATTTAATCTTGACAAATCTTCTGAGATAGAATCTTTTCTGAGCTTTCTAAGGTTTTTTAAAAAAACTGAAAGCTAATATATTTAAGGGATAGATTTTTTTAAGTAAAAAGACTCTCTCATTCTTTAATAGAATTTTCCGAGTTCATTTTTTTGTATTTAATTTTGATTTTTCTTATTTATTGTGTAAATAATAAGGTGTATCTCATTTCTTTAGAAATTGTCTTATCCTTTGCAAGTTTTAATTGTCAATTATGAATTGTACATTATATATAACATCTAATGTGATATATTTCAAAACAAAATTCCTGGAGATTCAAACCTATTTTATCCTTGGTTGCCTTAGATTATTACTGCCGACTCCTAAGATCATCTATTACATAACCTTCCTTTTTGTTTCCATCCTCTTTACTTTGATTTAAATGGCTATCTTGCTCATAGTAAATGAATGCTATTTAATAATCTTTATTATCCAATGTCGGCTAAATTGTGTTATATAAATAATATAACATTTATATTATATATGTTCCAATATCGGAAAATAAATTATTTAACACAAATGAAAAACCTATTATCATATATATATATATGTCGTATTGGGATATGGAATCATGTGGGATTCGGAATGCCAAGGAGGGGTTCAAGATCTTGAATCCCCACGTTTTATTCGGGATCTTTTTTCGAATCCTCATGAAAAAAAAATATATAATTACTTTTTCTTCTCTTTTTTGCGGCTGGCTACCATATAATTAAAAGGCCAAAATAAGGGATTTAAAAAGAGAATTTAAAAAAAAATAAAAAGTATAAAATTTAAGCATAGAGGTTAAGACTTTTTTGTTTAAAAAAATATATTTATAAAAAATCCAAATTATTGCAACAATTATTCAATGCAATATGGCATTTCATTAAACATTTAAGCAGCGACCGAACATTTATAACGGTTCAGTTTGGTTACGGTTCAGTATATAAAAAATTATAATGGTTTATTTCTTCTGGATGTAATATTGAGTTAGCCGTTTTTAAAAATCAATTATGAATATGGAAAAATACTATGTATCTTTAGGTTGAGCCAAATAAGGTCAGACTCATTTAGAGATTGTAAAACTAAATTATTTATAACAACGATCAAATTTTATGTTGAGATTATCAAAATGTTTATTTTTATTTAGTAATTTCATATATTTTTACATATTTTTATATAGTTTTAATATTTTAGTGTTTTATCTTTTTTTTTAAATTATACCAATATCAATATTATCAAAATAAAATTTTAAAAAATAAAACAAATAACAATGGCAATATTTTCAAGTTTTGGAAGCAGGAAACTTTATTTCCTTTTTTGAGAAAATTAGAGAATAAAATTTTGTCAGCCCTGGCAAATTCGGCATCTAGTGAAAGGTTATTTTCTGTAGCCAATCTCCTATTAGAGGAAAGGCGTACACAATTGAAATAAAAAAATAGACATTCTTCTTTTTCTAAGTAAAATTTGGTTTTATATGTATTTATTTTTTGTTATTATGGATTATGGAATTAAAGAAATAAAGAAATAAATGAATAAATTCAAAAAAGTGTAAAAATTTATAGCATTAAAGTTTTGATAAATTTAAAAACACTGTGAATTTTCTGGCGTGAAACAAAATATTGCCTTTGAGTATATAATGATTTAAAGCATAAAAGTACATATTAATTATCTCTAAAAAATAAAATTTTCTGGTGCCAGCCAGGAAGCAAAAAATATAATTTAATTGTTTTTTTTAAAAAAAAGATTCCGAATCCCCTTAAATATTTTTTTTTTAAAAATTTATTTTTGTTATAAATATCTGAACCATAACCGTAACCGAATCGATATAATTATTTTTTGAAGGAGCAAAAAGAACCTTTATAAAAAACGGTTAGACCGTTTCAGTTTTTATATTTTAGAAATGGAAATTATTTGATATCCAGAATTATATAAACGTGCTCTTATAGTACTGGCGGTTCCCGCAACACAAGTTTCTGTAGAAAGGGCTTTTTGCGTTATCGTCACAACGAACAAAAAGGAATCCATTTATACTTGAAAATATATTACTTATAAGTTCAAATAAAATATCTAAGAATGAGTTATTTTGAATCTTATATATTTTTTTGATATATAATTCATAGATGCATATAATAAAAATAAATTAGAAGATGGTGTTGCTTCAATAAAAAAAAAATTTCTAACCGTAATGAACCTTTATAATTAGCTGAACCGAATGGAACCTTAATATAAATTTCTTCTCAAGAACCGTAACCAAAACGTAACCATTATAATTTTTTATACACTGAACCGTACCGTAACCAAACTGAACCGTTATAATTAACGGTTAGGGTCCCTGCTTAAATATTGCAATAATTCGGATTTTTTATAAATATATTTTTTAAAACAAAAAAGTCTTATCATCCCTTTTCATTTATTATATGCCTTAATTTTATACTATTTACTTTTTTTTAAATTCTCTTTTTAAATCCCTTATTTTGGCCTTTTATTTATATGGTGCCAGCCGCAACAAAGAGAAGAAAAAGTAATTATATTTTATTTTATTTTTTCATGAAAACGTGGGGATTCAAGATTCCATATCCCAATACGACATATATATACACACAAATCATTAAATTAAAGTCTAAACAAAATAAAAATATTTAAAAGAAAACAGGGGTAAGTATAGTAGAATAAAATTAGCATATCTTTTTCATGTGCCCCAAAATTTAAAATGGACATTAAATATTTTAGCCCCAAATATAGAAAATGTAGGAAAAATATAAGAAATGTTTGGCAAAAAAAGATAGAAAATATAAATAAAACATAGAAAATTTAAAAAAATGATTTTGTTCATAAGAATATTTGGCCAAAATATAAACATATAGTGTCAATTTTTACTTAAAAAATTGGAGACAAAAGGCCCTCCTCCATCTTGTATCTGTTTATATATAGGTAAGTATTTACAAATATGGTTCGTAAATTCTACTTCTATTTAAAAATATCTTATTTAGAAGACCAATTTATAATTTCTCTAGAAAGCATCATGCAGTCATGGATAGCTTTAAGGTAAAATAACTTGAGTGTATTTTAATAAAATTATTTTTTTATTTTAAAAATTCTTTCCAATTATATATATTACCGAGAATTTTTCATTTTTTCAACTTATAATCATTTTTTGAGCGCGTTTTTTTTTAATTTAAAAAAATACTTCTATTTTACCGGAAATGTATTTCCATCAAGTTTGGAATATACAATTTTACCATAAACATTTAATCTTTAAATGGCTTGGCAAAAGTGTCTATAATATATAAAATAAATTTTTTAAGTATGCTGGATTTTGTATAAAATTAGATTTTAAATTTTTTAAAATGCGCTCTAAAAACGATATAAATTTTTAAAAAATAAAATAACACAATGCCAGAAAAAACACATCGTCGCTAACATGTATATTTGGAGTTTCCGTAAAAATAGCAATCGATATATAATATATTTAGTTTTAGAAAAAGAATTATAGCCTAGTCATAAAACAAATCCGGGATGGTCCCTGCCAATGGCACCGCAGGTCTCTGATATATATTTTTTTATTAATAAAGATGCTCAATTATCCAATTACAAAGTTTTTTCAGAAACTGAAAGTTTTCCTCAATAGTATTTATTTTCTAATCTTATTTTTTCAGTCTCTATTATTTTTTTTAACATTTTCTATTTATATTTACATTTTCTATATTTTGACCAACAAATCCTTTTTAGATTATATTTTGGATAGAAAACATTTTCTATATGTATAATCAAATTTTTTTATAGTGCGTCAAATAAATTAAAATCTGATGTTAAAAACATGTGATTGACCATGTTTGAAATGTATCTAATTTGATTTAAAATGCTAATCAAATTTCTAAGTAAAAGTTTTTATTGATTTATCTTTGTAAGTTATGCAATTTTTAGATTTCAATTTAGTATTAACTGAAAAAGGTTTTTAACAAGCACAGATGGTGTAACTTCTTAATCTCATCAAGTGTTGACAGGCAATATAAATGACAACTGATTAATTATTAAAAAATAGTCTGAATAATTCAAATAATGAATATTTCGATTCGATTAATATAAATTAATCTAATAAAGTAAATATTTATCGAATATTAGAATTTTTAGATTCGAATATCACTTATTTGAATATTAGAATTGTTCATATTCTAATATTATTATTTTCGTTCCAATCGAATAATTTTATATTCGAATTCGAATAAAACGAATAATTTAATATTCGTTTTATTATTCGATTTAATTCTAATTATTCGAAATGAATTGAATATTTATATTTATTTTATTAGTGCATAATTTTCGAAAAATTGTCTATACATTTTTGATTACCTGGTAGAGCTTGGAACCCGATAGAGAATCAGGAGAACTCCTGGAAAAATCTCATATTTTGGGAAAAGAGCCT